GGACCCAAAAAACGGAAAGTATGTATTATTGCCTGTTTATGACCGGATCCCTCAGTTCCATATTTTCATCACAAATTTACAACTGTTGTTTTTTTTATTTACAACTGTTGTTTTTCTTATTTACAAGTGTTTTTTATTTACATCTGTTGTTTTCATTTACAACTGTTGTTTTTTTTACTTACAACTGTTTTTTGTAACTGATTTACAACAGTTGCTTTTTATTTATAACTGATTTACAACTGTTGTTTCTCATCTATAACTTTTTGTTTAAAAACTGTTCGATTTACGTGTTGGTTTAATTTACAACTGTTTTTTAGATTCACAGCTATTGTTTTAATTACAACTGCTGTTTTAAGTCACAACTATAATTTTCATCATATATTCGCAGTTTGACAGATATTTGGGATATATATTTTTCACCAATACATAACAAACTGACTTTTTTGTTTGTTTCCCCCAAGGGTACGTTCGTGAATGTAGTACCGGGAGGCGTATTTTCCCCTTCGGATGTTGTAAGTTTTACTAACTTTTTTCTTCTTTCCTAGTTTTTCATTGTCATTTGTTGGTAAAATTTGGGATCCATATTTTGCCGTTAAATGTGGAAAATGCGTTTTTATTTTTGGATATCTCATATATCTGCAAAATATCGTGTGTGTGATTTTTTTTCTTTCTTTCTTTCTTAATTTCTCACATATCGTCACTGGAATCACGCCGGGCACTGAACAACACAGCCGTGACCTAGGATTGACCTTGCTTGACCTCGCGATCCGGCTTAGGTCAATTGAAAGCACAAAGGACATCAGTCACTGGATGAACACTATTTTTCTGTCTGTCTCTGCTTTCCGCGAGAGGCAGGCGTGTTCAGGGTGGGGAGCGAGGGCGTGGGGCGGAGGTGCGGGCGGGAGGTTGGGTGGGTTGTGGGGTCCGAACTCCCCCTCCCCCTCCCCTCCTTCCTGAAGTCCTCCGCGGCCCCCACTTCGAGTCCCGGTCCTCTGGAGGCGCCACGACCTTCGCCGCGGCGCTCGAGTCACGGCGGATCTCTCCCTTTCCCTCGGAGGATTTTTCGCGCCGCGGGCGTCTCCGTCTGTCCCCTGGCGCGAGTCCTTTGGCGAGGGCGTCACGCTGCGTCGCCTCCGCGGGCGCCGGCGGGTTGCCATCGCCGCCGCCGAGAACTTCCTCGCCCTGATCAACTTCAGGGAAGTTACTGCACGAAACGCTCACTGGGCGGCGCGCGCCCTCACCAGCACACGCCCTCCAGCCGGAGGGAGTTGGGCCGCGGCAGCGACAGCACTCTGCTCACCTCCTGCGACGCGCCGACGCTTCTGGAGGAGGAGCAGACGGGGGAGGCCTCCGCGGCGGACGTGGGGGCGGAGGCACGAAGGGCGACGTGGTGGAGGCGAGCGAGGTGGCGGGCGGGAGAGCGAGAGCGAGCGAGGGTGCGCAGCGGGCTGGAGGCCTGGGTGAGCAGGGCGAGGCGGGCAGGGCGGGCGGTGGGAACGGGCACACGGGCAGGAAGGGCAGGAGGCCGGGGAACTGCGCGGGCGGGAGGCCGAGGGGCAGCAGGGGCGGCGCGTGGCACTCGAGGCCGGGCAGCCGCTCCCCCGGCAGCAGGTACTCGGGCAGCCTGTGCGCCGGGGAGGAGATGGAGGCGTCGCCGCGGCCGAGGCCCGTCATGGGCGCGAGGCAGCGCAGCGACTGCGAGAACGAGCCCAGCGACGAGCCCAGCGGCGGCAGCGGCCCGTCCAGCCCGCGCTCGCGGATCATCTTCTTGGTCTTGTAGCGGTGGTTCTGGAACCAGATCTTGATCTGCGTGGGCGTGAGGTCCAGCAGCGACGCCAGGTGCTCGCGCTCGGGCGCCGACAGGTAGCGCTGCTGGCGGAAGCGCCGCTCCAGCTCGTAGGTCTGCGCCTTGCTGAACAGGATCCTCCGCTTGCGCTTGCGCCCCGTCGCCTCCATGTCCTCCTCCGTGCAGTCGTCCACCTCCAAGGCCTCCATGTCCTCCTCCGGCGCCGTGAGGCTGGCGGCCGCCTGCTCCGTCGAGTCGGCCGCTGCCTGCACGGCGCTGTGGGGCTCGTGCACGCCGCGGCCGGAGGGGCTGACGGGCGCCTCTGTCGCACCGTCCTCGTCGGCGGGGTCTGGGGGGGAAGGGGAAGTCAGCATCGAGGGATTCGGACACACCAGTATTGCATCAAAAGAATGTTTAAATTCGCAATGCAAAAGAATTTGTAAATCTACTTTAAATGAATCGAATAAAATTAAAGGAAGCACATTTTTCGATCAATGATTCCCATAATTTCCAGTTTTAGAAAAATCGAATGATCAGTCGACGATAATTATCGTTTATATAAATATCAAACTAGAAAAAGGAGAAGAAGGAGGAGGAGGAGAGGCATGAGAAGGAAGAGAACATGCAGGCTCAAGGTGGGGTTTCTTACAGAGCAAATAATGCCCTTTGGCCGAAGGTGCGGGCGCCTATCACGGCAGAGGGGCGGGGACCAACCACCTTCTGAACTAGGGACAAACTTCCTTTAAGGGACAACGTTTTCCTCGGAGACTAACACAAGATGTCCCTCAAGCACAGGGCAAGGCATCATCAAGGGAGGGACAAGGGCAAGGCATCATCAAGGGAGGACAAGGGCAACGTTATCTCAGGGACAGAAAGGGCAGTAGAGGGCGGAGGGTTTAAGGGAGGGCCGGAGGAGGGAAAGGGAAATAGGGAAGAAGGGTTAGGGAACAGCAGGGAAATGGAAAGGGGAAAAGGAGGTGGGGGGAAGAACGTGAGGGACAGAAAAAGGAAAGGAGATGTCAAGAAAAAGAAAGGGAGATTGAGGAACATGAGGGAGAGATCAGGGAAAGGGTCAAGGGAGAGAGGGAGAGACCAGGAAAAGGAAAGAGAAAGAAGAGATCAAGAAAAGAAAAGGGAAATAAGGGAAAGGGATAAGAAAAAAGGGAAGTAAGGCAAAGATCAGGAGCAGGTGGAAAGGGCGAAGAACGCGAGGGAGAGATCAGGGGAAGGGCGAGGGCGTGGGAAGGCCTCACCACGGGCTACGAAGCGGAAAATGCCCGGCTGTGATAGTGGCGAGAAACGAGCGTAATGGGGCGTCTCAAAGGGGGGGGTTGGGGTGAGGGGGAGAGGGGGAGGGGAGGAGCTCTTATTTTTGGGGGGGAGAGGGGAGGAGGGAGAGGGAGAGAGACAGAGAGGGGAGGGAGAGGGGGCTTATTTACATACACGACCTTGATGTTTGCTTCCACGCCTGTGATATGTCGAAAACGACGCGTTTATCGGCGTTTTGGGAAGAGAGACTTTGATTTTGATATCTTTAGTTGGCTGATAGCTGTGTGTCTTTTTGTTTGCCTGTCTGTCTTCCTGCCTATCGTTCTGTCTATCGCTATCTCTTTCCCTTATCTTCTACCTCTCCGTCTACCTTACCCTCATCCGCAGTTCCCTCTCCCTCTCCCTCACCTACTCCCTCTTTCTTCCTCCATCCTTATCCCCATCTTCTCCCACAGCTTCTGCATCTCCCTCCCCTCCCCCTCTCCCACTCTTCTCCCTCCCCCTCTCCCTCTCCCACTCCTTCTCCCTCTCCCTCTCCCTCACATACTCCCTCTTTCTTCTCCCATCCTGATCCCCATCTTCTCCCTCACCCTCTCCCCCTCCTACTCCCTCTCCCTCTCCCTCTCCCTCATTTTTCAGCCGCGAGACGATGCAGGGTTTGACGATATACTCAACCTGATCGTCTGGAAATATAAATGGCATCCCAGTAATTACCCTAAGTAATTTATGGCCCTAACAAGAAGGGAGGGAAGGGGAGGGAAGAGGGAAGGAGGAAAAAGAAGGAGGGAAGAGGAGGGGAGCGGAGGGGAGAGGAAGGAGGGAAGGAGGAAAGAACGGGAGGGAAAGGACGAGGATGAGATGGGAAGTGGAAGGGAGAGGAAAGAGGGAAGGAGAGGGAGAAGGGAGGTAAAAAAAAAAGAAGGAGAAGGAAGGAAGATGGAGGGATGTATGGAAAGCGGAGAAAGGAAGGGAGGAAGCGACGGAGGAAAGGGAGGTTTGGTGATAAAGAGGGAGAGAAACAGAAAGAGGAAGATACAATAAGGGAGAGAAGGAAGAAACAAATAAAATAGAGAGAGAGAGAGAGAGAGAGTGGTAGATAGAGAAGGAGAGAATGAGGGAGCGAAATGGAGAAGGTGTGAAGGAGAAAATGAGGAACAGAATGATAGAATAATAGATAGATAGATAGAGAAAGAAAAAAAGGAAACAGACAGGGAAAAGGGAAAACAGAGAGAATGATCGACCGATAAATAGAGAGAGAAAGGAAACAGAGAGGGAAAACGAAGGAGAGAGAGCTAAAGAGGGGGAGAGAAAGGCTATGGCCACCGCGCGCTGCTTATAATAGGTCTATATTAGCTTATCGAAGCTAATTGTGACATCCATTTAACCCCAAACACGAGGGGAATTAATCTCTGGTGGGGCGAGGGAAGCGAAGGGGAAGAGGAGAGGAGGAGGGAGGGGAGGAGAGAAGGAGGAGAAGGAAGGGAAGGAGGGAAGGACGGAGGGAGGAGAGGGAAGGGAAAAGGAGAAGAAAATGAGATGAGAGAAATAAGAAGAGTAGAGGAGAGGAAAAAAGGAAGTGAGATGAAAAGAAGAGGAGAAAAGAGGAGAGGAATGAGACAGGAAAATGGAAAGAAGAATAAAAGGGACGCGGGAATGGGCAGCAAATTCGAGAGAGAAACAAGGCGAAAGAAAAAGGAATGAAAAGGGGAACGAAGAGAAAAAGAAATAAAGATAGTAAGCGAAGAGAAAAAGTGTCAAGGAGAAAAGGCAAAGAGAAGAGAAGAGAACATGTAATTGTATAAATAAAATGTTTAAAAAAACGATAATATATTAATATCATAATTCTGGTGAGGATAATGATAATAAATTGCAATAATGATGATAACAATAATAACAATAATAATAATAATGATGATAATAACAACAACAATAATAAAATTAATGTTAGCAATAATAATAGCGAAAAATGGCGATAATGGTAATAATGATAATAATAATAACGATAATGACGATCGTAATAATAGTAGAAATGCTAATAATAGTAATAAAATAATGATAACAATAAAGATATAGAAAAGATAATAATCGTTATTACTATTATTATTGAAATAATGCAATAATAACAGCAGTGATAATATTCATAGCTCTAACGACAAAAGTACAGAAAATTATCAACAATAATTTCAAATATTATCATAATCATTATGATATTACCATTAGTATCATTATTACTGTTATTTATTGTCACCATTATCATTCATATTATCATTATCATCATTACCACAATTATGATTATTATCATTGTAAATAAGAATCAAAAGATAACAAAAGTGAAACATACTAATATTATATCATCGCTGTAATTATCATTATTGTGAACATCACAATTATCATGATCACCGTCATTTTAAAGTCATCGCCGTCATCTTGTTAAAATTACTACCATTACCATTGTTTTTACTTTTATTATCACTATCCTTCTAATTATTATTGGTCCATAATTAGTGCTCTTATCATTATTATTAATATTATCATCATCGTCCTCATTATCACCATCGCCGCCATCATCATTACCATCAGCATTATTATTTTTACTATTATTACAAGTAGTATAATATCAATGCAATAATAATTGTTACATTTATTATTTTCTTCGATATAATTTGTATCATCATTATCGTTATTTCATATTTGACGATTTGGTCTGCATTATCATTATTTTCATACTATATCAAAAATCATTATAAAGAAGAAAAAATATGCGGTAAAAAGTATATAGATAACCAGCGCTTTGCCTTTTTTTGTAAATAATGCATTCTAATCTATTTCATTTTCCGGTCCAATTTAACACCAACATCGCTATCATGATTGCTACTATTGTTGTTGATATCACTGTCATTAATGTCACTATTGTTATTCTTCTCTTTAATGTTATGACTATTGTTATCAATGTCATTACTGTTGTTAATGTTCTCATTATTAATGCCATTGATGTTGTTAATGTTATTATCATTGCCATTACTGTTAATGTTATCATCATTATTAATGTCTTTACTGTTATTTTAAAGATATATGTATGTACGTCTTCAACAGAGAGCCGCTGTCGCCGCCGCCACACAAAACCGCCTTCGGTGCATTCAACGCGCCTCATCCGGGGTCCGTTGAACACCGCGCCGCAGAACCCATTTCGAACCCCCTTGAACTGGCGTGAACATCGGAGGTTACTGTGATATTTGGATGATAGAGGAAATAGATAGATAGATAGATTGAGAGAGATAGAGAATGAGAGGACACGATTTATTTCGCTTTCCGAGCCCCCAACGTGTGAAAACTCTACGGCTTTGACCCACCGCGTCTCGCGACTTCATTAGCCGTTATCACTATCACTCTATCTTATCGCGGAAAACCCAGACACTTTTAAACGTCACACAACATATGCTGCAATTCCCTTTACTTAACGCTCTCAACTCAAAAAAATACACATCAGACCACCGAACACAGTCGACCAGTCCCGAAGTACAAGAATCACAGTATCTAGAAAAAAAAACAATAAACGCAAAATAAGAATGTAAAACGTGGGCTTACCTGAGCAAGGTGTAGGGGCGTCGTGTAGCTGTAGGAGGTCCCTGACTGAGAAGCCACGGGGCGGCGCAGGTCGCTTCTCCTGTACCTGAAGGGGAAGGTTAGCCAAGGTTAGGATATCGCTCACTATCATTATTATTATTGTTATTATTATTATTATTATTACTATCATTATTGAGGTTATGGAGGTTGGGGGAGTGGGAGAAGGGGGGAGGGAGTGTCTCGCTACATTCACTGGTAATTTCGTTTGCATTTCCTATCTATTGTTCCATTAGAGGTTGCGAGGTTGAGTACTGTCCTCTTTTAACATAGATCAATGACGCTATACTATACGTCGAAGTTTCCTTTAAGGTTTTAGGTGAAATAAGATTCGATTTTAAGTAGAATTAACGGCGAAAAATATACTTAAATTATTTCCTTGCATCCCCCCCCCAAAAAAAAAAAAAAACTAAATTCAGTATTTCACATATTTCGGACACTATGTATAAATGAAATAAACATTCCTATCATTACAATACACGTAATTCAGTGTATCTAACATGTAGATATGCGTAAATACATTTCATTTTCTCTCGCGCACTTCACACACATGGTTCCTGTGGCCAACGTTGGATTTGTGGATATTAATTGATTGTTTCTGAGGCCACAGGGCGGGCGCCTTCGGCCTCGATGTGGCGTGCTCAGCGAGAGAGCGGCCAAGTCCCTCAGCGACACTATTCACTGGAAATTGGCGTTCCCGAAGGCGCATCGGCGGTACTTACTGTGATCATTGTGGATAGATGGGCACTGGGTAAACCGTAGAGTGGGGATGCAAGTACTCCTGAGGGAAATTACTCCTGGGGAAGACACACAACTGATGCCGT